TGCAGACTGAGCAATCGGCTCGGTAAGGCTGGTGGTCGTTCATCAAGTGTTGCTGCCATTCGGCCCTTTGCTCTTTGGTGAGTTTGCTCACCTTGGCTCCAGCTTCCATCAGGATCTCCTCCTCAAACAAGCTGCCATCCATGCCTTCGGTAACAGCATTGGCCACGATCATCTGAAACTTCACTGGCCATCGGCGTTTCTCCTTTATTTTGGTAACCATAGAAGACGGAACACACGTATCCTCAAAGTCCCAGTTGTTGTTCATGTCGTAGAGCAGAGGGTAGTTGGTGCCTATTGTAGTAGGTCGTTTCCCTTTATGGCCATACGCACCCATGTTGAAGGAAACCGCACGCATTCCACCAATCGACTTGAACGCTTTCCAGAGCTCCAGTTCCCATACAGAAGGGTAGTCGGGATCGTCGGGGTACCTCTTCTCCTCGTTAGCCGGCAACTCCATCATGAAACCAACCGGTCCCTTTGAGCGCGCCGAAGAGAGGGCCCATATCAACATCTGCTTAGCCATTGTTGCGGTCTCCTGGTGGAGGTGTTGTTGTTGAAGAGGAGGTAGTGCTTGATGTCCGTACGGCTCAGCTTGCGTGCACTTCGAACCATAAGTAGAGGCCCACCTTTCAGAGGCGGAGTTGATCCAGGTTTCCGTTCTCGGAGACCCCAAAACATCTGCCACTCGTCCCGTAGACGCTGCCCACAAAAGCAACTTATACACTGCATTGGGACGGTTCATGTCCCACAGCTTTGAGGTCTTGTCGTTCACATTCAAGACAACTTTTCCGCTCTGTGGAATCACACGGAATGGGCTGAGGTCCCGGTCACCCTCCACTTGCAGGTTAACAACCCACATCCTTGAAGCCATCAACGCTTTCCTTTGTCGCCGTGTCACAGGTAGGGCTTTCAAGTAGGCTTCCCCTTTTGAGACATCAAAGTCCTCCAACATCAAAGTGTGCACTTCCGGAGGCAAGTCCTTGGTGAACGGGCATTTCATGAGGGTCTTCAGGAGGCTCGCACGGCTTCCTGTACTGGCATACTCACTCATCAGTTCCGTCCAATCCCTTTTTTCCTCCAACTTGAGAACCTCCAAGCGGGCCTTAAGGGTCTCCACGTTGCTGTTCAGGGTGTTCACCTGTTTCATTTCCAGCTCCCGTATCATAGCCAAAGCATCACACGCAGCAACTTCAGGGCAATGGTTGTGTATTCTCACCTTCACTTCGCCCTTTTCGGGATGGGTGAGTCGAAGCTTGGTGGGGGTCCAGTGGAGGGTGTAGCCCAAGCCCTGGATCAGCGCCCCGAGTGGGACGATAGGTTGGACCTTCACGTCCTCCTCCTGTACCAAGATCGTGCCCTGGAGGTTCTGCCTGAGGATTTTTTCGTCCTCGCCAGCAAGCGTTACCTTGACGGGCTGTGCATCTTCATACTCATCCGTTGTGGCAGGCCGCATGGCGTGGCTTGCTCCTGTATCCAAAAGCCCACTCGCACTCTGACCTTCCTCCGGTTCAACTTCTCCATTCTTTAGAGCAGCACATCGTGGAAGGGGAGGTTCACAAACACGCACTCCCAGCTTCTTCAATGTAGTAGCCGTCATCGACTTCAACACCGGCCCCACATCCGCCAAAACTTCGCGAAGATCACTTCCCACAGGTCCCTCAGTACCAGATTGATGGACCACTTCCGCAACTTCTGGCTTCTCATCAATCCGAACAGTCTTGGTGGTTGTAGTAGTTGACGTACTGGTGGGATGCTGCGGCTTCTCTGCTCCTGCTTTTGGGGTACTGCTGCTCGACGTCGGTGGGGTGTACTTTTTGTTCGGGCAGTCCTTGGCTGCATGACCTTTTCCCCCGCAAGCCAGGCATCGATCTCTTTTATCGAGACCTTCCCATGTGTGGGCGAAGGGGCACCGCGATGCCCTTGCACATCCCTTTGCTGTCTTCCCAAAGAACTTGCAAGGGACCTCGGACTTCGGCTTGTCATACTTTGGTGGTTCACCGCCTCCAGTTCCTGACGGGGGCGGCGGAGGTGTGGCCTTCGTCGACGGAGGAGAAGGAGGCCCAGTCTTAGGATCTCCCCTCACAGGCTTCAAACGAGGCTCAGACTTGGGCGTAGTTGCCGGTGTGGTAGTCGTTGTCGTCATTCCCACTGCAAGAGCCTCACATTCTCCCATAAGGTGGCGGTAGAAACTCTCGACACTTTCGTAGCTCGGATTCGTGTCTATGCGCAAGTTCGACTTCAGAAGAGAGGTTCGAAAGGAAGCGTCTGGATTCTTGTCCAGCACTTGTTTGACCAAACCATTGAGACCTCTCGTCAACAAACTCGGGTCAGGGGCTTGCACATTGAGCTCCCGACAGCGCCTCAGCCACCGGTTCCAAGTCCTCAATGACTCCACTGCACGCTGAGGATCACTTTCAGCAGGAGGAGCTTGCAAACTGTTGAGAATCTTCACCTTCTCCGACTCACCTCCGGGTTGGTAGATTTGCAAAAGGCGGAACAACAACTTCGTCGTCGAGTTGGCCAGCCTTCGCGCCACAGCTTCTTGCTTCACGGCTTCCGGGAGTGCCATGATGATCATTGAGGCCGCCCTGCTGTTAACCTCGACCAGTGTCCATCTTCTTGACCTTCAGTCACCGGCATCACCGTCAAACGTTCCACAGGGGTGGCGAGGGACCACACTCCGTAGGCCCTGTGCGCTTCCGCAACAACTTTCTTCCACCATCCCGCCGAACCATCAGAAAGGTCCGACATGGGAGCATCGATAAGCTCCATCCAGTCCATGATATCCACGCATGACGTTTCTGCAGATGGATCCTTCAAGACAGGTAGCACATTCGTCCCCGGTTTGATGTTCTGTGGGGATGTCTCGCTGTCACCAGCCTTGTCGTACTGCTTCCTTCTGGAGCTGGGTGATCCAGTCGGCCAGCAAAGCCATCTTATTCTGTGACTCATTCTCTCCCAACCATTGCTGCGCCGTCTGTGTCGGCAACGCCTGGGATTGACCATCACACTGATTCCCTTGTGGAACACTGCCTTGCGGTACTGGATCTGGAAGCCCATTTGGTCCAGCATGACTCTGAGGTAGTGGACCGTGATTCCCTCCTGGAACAGCATGACTCTGAGGTAGTGGACCATGATTCCCTCCTGGTACAGCATGACTCTGAGGTAGTGGACCATGATTCCCTTCTGGTACAGCATGACTCTGAGGTAGTGGACCGTGATTCCCTCCTGGTACAGCATGACTCTGAGGTAGTGGACCATGATTCCCTTCTGGTACAGCATGACTCTGGGGTACTGGTGGAGGAGGCGGACCTGGTAGATCAAACCTCAATCTCGGCGGAGGGGGCCTTGGTAGGTGAGCAGGATCTCCCCTTGGAGCTCCATAGTCTTGTGGTAGAAGCTGATTCCCTTCACCGTACATCCGAAGCAATCTTTCACGATCCCTCTCTTCTCTCAAGCGAAGAACTTCCCGTTGTAGGACCTCGAGTTCCCCTTGATAACGCTGCTGGTACTCTTCCAACTGTCTCTGCACTTCTGCCTGAAGCCTTGACGATCTCTCTGATTCACCTTCTGAGCGCGACTTGAAGAGGTCCAAACAGCGGAGGGTTCGGTGGAGAAGCTCCCGTCCATGATCCCGGAATTCCCGGCACCTGAGGTGGAAGCTCTTCTGGCGGGGACACGTTCAACTGCAGGGCAGAATGCATCATCCCTGAAGGTCTGACTGGTCTAGTAGGTGCAGGCAAAGGCGGTATCCCCAATCCATCCAGCATTCTATCCACTCCAGTAACTCCCCTCGAAGCCGTAGTTCGCAAGAATTCAGAAACTCGCGTCATCCAACGCAGGCCCTGTCATTCCGGGACCGGCGAAGTCTGTGTCGAGAAAAACTCCTGTACTCTCACCGTTGCACTCCTCGGGGTTGCTGGAGTAGGCGCTTCACCAGATGCAGGTCGACTTCCTTCTTCTATCGTAGTTATAACGCGTGCGCCCGGGCCCGGTATCCCATACGGAGGATCAACCATGTGCGGTGGTGAAGGAAGCCTGCGCGGGGCCGTAGTAGGTCCAGGTCTATCTCCCGGCTGAACAGTATCCTGCAGATTGGGATTTCCCAACGTCTCCAGTCCTGAAAAACCCGAAGTGTCCGAACCTCTTGGCCCTGTCCCATTTCACCAAAGTCGCACCCGAGCTCCTAGGCGGATCATCGCCTGAAACTGTAGCGGAGTCACCCTCGATCAATTGGGCGCTCATAACCTATAAAAGGTTGTCGAAGATGCCGGGCAAGAGGGCTTATGCAGTCTATGCGCCTACCATCGCTCGCGGCAATCACTGTTTTTCGCTTACAGCACAAGATCCTCAGGAGTTTGGCAAACTGAAGCTTTAGAGCTTATGCTAGACAACTGCACATGTTGCCACTTCCAAGCTTGTGTCTTTGAGACAAAGTCGGTGCATCATGCAAAGCGTTTCATGACACACTCAGCACTGTAGAGGAGGATACAGATTTCATCAGGATTATATAGGATTATATTAGGGCCCTATTATATTCCTATTATACCACTATTACAGGGTGGGGGCAGCTTCTAAACTCCCAGCCTAAAACTCCAAACTCTTAAACCCTAGAAAAGGTTAGAACGTGGGGAGCTTTGTCGTAAAAAAATATCATCGGGAACCCAAAGGAATACCATGGTCCATAAATAACGTCCATAAACAACAAACCTTAAGGCCTAAAGCCCAAAACCCTGAAACCCTGCAAAACCCAACCTCATAACCCCAAACTCACAGTCCTAAACTCCAAACCGCATAATCCCAAACTCTAAACCCCCCAAACTTCAAAATCCCAAAATCCCCAAACCCAAAATCCAAACACCCAAATAAATTCCTAAACCCTAAATCCCTAAAACCCCAAACCCCGAAATCCTCAAACTCAACACCCCAAAATTCCCTTAACCCCAAATCCTAACGCCTAAACTCCCCCCCTAAACCCTAAACTCCGCTCCCTGCGCTGCCTGCAGTGTCTCCCGAGAGCCACCTCCCGGGCCAGTGGATGAGAACAAGGTCGGCGACCCGCGTGCCCAACCTGAGTCGGTTTACGCCTTAGGGTGCTTGTGTGAGAGAGAGAGAGAGAGAGAGAGAGAGAGAGAGAGAGAGAGAGAGCGAGACAGAGAGAGAGAGAGAGAGAGAGCGAAGAGAGAGCGAGAGAGAGAGAGAGAGACAGGGCGAGACAGACAGAGACAGAGAGAGAGAGAACAAGTGAGTACGTGAGTGAGTGAGTGAGTGGGTGAGTGAGTGTGCAACAGAGAGAGTATGTGAGTGAGTGAGCCAGTGAGTGAGTGAATGAGTGAGTGAGTGTGTCAGTGAGTGATTGAGTGAATATGTGCGTGGGCGTGTTCGCACGCTCTTTTGGGTTTTGCATGTTGGGCTTTAGTGTTGGGGGCTTTACATGATCTTCGGGACACCTGCACGTTTGTTTGCAAAGGTTAGCGAGAAAGGTTTTAGGGCAACTTGAGCGTTTTTGCATGTTGGGGTTCGGGGATGAGGATTTCTGCTATATGAATGATTTAAGGCTTTAGGCGTATTCAGGGCCCTACTGCGGTTGTAAGGAGACTTTGATCGGCTTCTGTGTGCGGGCTTCAGATGCCACTTGACTTACATGCTCTGGAGCCACGGCCTGAATGAACCCTTAACCCTACTTAAAGGTTCATGGGACTTAGTAAACATGGTTATAAGGTAACTAGACTTCTATTTGGATATAGCCCCAGTTAGGGTAATTGTAACTGTACTTACTAAGTCCCATGAACCCCCAAGTATTCCCTTGATGCAGGCACCAAAACAGTCAACGAGCAAGTAAGTAATAACATTCTTTGGGGTCTTTAATACCAGTATAATATGGTAGCCATACCCCCCAAACCCTGTCAAAGCCACGACGGCCCCTGCATACATCGATCTTGACCTTCTCTGAAGGAAGCCCTAACTCCAAAACGCTGCCCCCAAAGTTTGCCTAAAGCCTCATAGCCCTAAGCCCCTACAGCCCTAAGCCCCTAAGCCCTGAAACCCTTCACCCAAAAACTCTTATCTAAACCCTCTCAGTTTCCAAACTTAGGGCGCCTGACTTTTGCAAAGATCGCTGCACCGAGCTTGTCGCCTTGTCGAAGCTCATGTCAGTCCACCACACCTCGAGTTCAGGGCTGAGTTCTTTTTTTCTCAGGTGCAGTGGCCTTTCGCTCGCGCGACCGTCAGGGTTTGGGGTTGGGCTTGGGGTTTGGGGTTCAGGGCTTTGGGCTTTCGGGTTATAGGGTTCAGGGTTTGGGGTTCAGGGCTTTGGGGTTCTAGGGTTTAGAGTTTGGATTCAGAACTTCGGGCTTAGGGTTTTGGGGTTATAGGGTTCCGGGTTTAGGTTACAAGGCTTAGTGTTTGGGGTTTAGGGTTTCGGGGTTTACGGCGACAAGGTTACTGAGAGAGTTACTGTATGGATTGCTATCAAGGATTCAGGGGAGAAGAGTTTGCGCAGTTTGGGGCTTAGGGGGCAGTGTTTGGCCTGGAGAGGGAGCAGCGAATTCTACGAGTGATCTGAAATCACCACGCGCCTAACTATCGACTGTAGCTCCATGGCTTCATCCTAAACATAGGGTCAGCTACTGTAGGGTCTGTACACCAACTTGCATATTAGACCCAAGATCCGGGGTCTAATTGCAAAGTTGGCGTACCACAACAAACCAGGGTGGCATATTAGACCTTGGGCCTCCCCAACGGGAAGCTCGATCCGGGAGGGCTGTGGGAAGGCATTGACCTGTCGAGGCCCGGGGGGAATAGGTAGCAGGCACCCGGCCGAATTGTCCGTATTAGAGTGAAAACGAGCAATTCAGCCGGAAGCATCCTTCGTGAACATTGCGAACAACTTGTCACACCTGCTCTTGCACCGCTTGTAACTGCACTTCTGCGGCAGATCTATACTGCTGTGAGAAGGACCTGCTTCCTGTCGCATAGACATATTCATGACATAGGCATTCAAATCAACAGCAGACTTGAGCGGCATACCTCCAGCAAGCGAACAAGGAAGGGTCTAACATGCCAGGCCGACCGAGGGTCTAATATGCCAACCGTCGCATCTTAGACCCCAGCTCTTCCGATTACACTAACCCATGATTTCAGACCCTCGAGTAGCTGAGGGTATTCCTAAACCCTATAAAAAATTGAACCCTCAAACCCCAAACCCTGTTGAAGATTAAGGGAGAGAGAATATTTCGAACAGTTCAGACCCTTAACCCGCAGCGATACATAACGGCAACAGTCACTTCATGCCAATGTGCGGGCCGCACGGCTATAATATTGTGCTTCTTATGAACGTGCAAAATCAGGCTCACTCTTTTTGCAATATGTAAAGTTCTCCGCATATGTATGTACTTGTGTATATATATATATGTACATATGTAACTATATATATATATACATACATACATACATACATATGAATACACACATGCATATGTGCACACTTCTTCTTGCGCGCAGTATGCACTCAGGGTCTCCGAGTAGAACAGCCCAAAGGTCAGCACCCAAACTGTAAGACTGTGCTCGCTTGTGAGTTTGGGAGAGCTAAGCCTAGATCCTTACCTAAAGAGTAAGCATCTGAGGTTTATACTGTATAGTCGGTAACCTCTAATCGGGCAACCGGAGCCGTATGCTTCCTAGCCCGAAGCTCTGCGCAGATGAAGCGAACATAACCCTATCCCTACTTGTCGGGTATCGTGGGGAACTAAAGGCTAACCTTTTCAGTTATATAGGGATCATAAAGGGACTATATACCTACTCGGCTATTGGGTATCTGGTTTACGAAAGCCTCTATGATTGCAGCCTGAGACACTTTGGTTGTCACGGAAGTCTTCACCGGAGAACCATCCTTGCAACTTGCGGCTATCAATGCAGAGCATATCTTGCGATAGGCCTAAACTTAAACGACTCCGAAAACTCGAAATTCCTAAACCCTCAAACCGACAGCCTAAACTGCTCCTCAACACTGTCACAAAGTTGAGCGGCCGAACCACGTACCCAGACCCCGAATTGCATGACCTTGTTTTGCCTACATTGCTCTGTTATCACAATTTCTGACTCAATCGCGAGCCACGTGATCCGCAGCTCCGTGAACCAGGTCTGATATTAACTATAGTATCATCTCCACCAAACCGTATAATGCTTTTAAAGCTCCTACACTAAAACCCTTGAAGGACCCCTTAGAGGAACCCTCAAAAGAACCCTTCAAGGAACCCTTACGGGTAGCTTCGCGGGACATTGCCCCCGACAAAGCTGCTACAGTACCACCGGGCCCAAAGTAGTGTTATGGGAGATACTTCTTTAAATCATAATCATAATCCTCCTAGGTTTAGAGTTTAGTGTTCAGGGTCCCAGTATAGAAACCCTGTATTCTACTATGAAGGTGCTTTGGAGTACTTTGGAGCCTTTGGGCTAAACCCCAAACCCCAGACCCTATAAGTAGCTACATTCTGCTATAAAACTGCTTTGGACCTTTTGGGAATCTGGCATGCAAGATGCTGCCATGCGTGTCTCCCGCAGCGCTGAGCCAACTTCCTCCTGCGTGGGCGCTGCTCGCCGAGTAGAGTCGAGTTTACTATAGTAACAGTCTAGTATAGTGCAGTTTCCCAATCGCAGAAGAGGAAGTGGTAGTAGTAGTAGTAGTACTAGTAGTCGTCGTCGTAGTAGTAGTAGCAGTAGTAGTAGTAGCAGCAGTAGTAGTAGTAGTAGTAGTAGTAGTAGTAGAAGGTAGTAGTAGTAGTAGTAGTAGTAGTAGTAGTAGTAGTAGTAGTAGTAGTAGTAGTAGTAGTAGTTTAGTAGTAGTAGTAGTAGTAGTAGTAGTAGTAGTAGTAGTAGTAGTAGCAGTAGTAGTAGTAGTAGTAGTAGTAGTAGTAGTAGTAGTAGTAGTAGTAGTAGTAGTAGTAGTAGTAGCAGAAGTACTAGTAATAGTAGTAGTAGTAGTAGTAGTAGTAGTAGTAGTAGTAGTAGTAGTAGTACCAGCAGTAGTAGTAGTGATGGTGGTAGTAGTGGCGGTGGTAGCAGTAGTAGCAGTGGCAGTAGCAGTAGTGGTAGCAGCAGCAGGATTTGGAGTTTGTAGTAGTAGCAGTATAGTACTAAGTTAAACGCCATCACAAGAATAATACGATCATTACGGCAACCATCTTCTGCTCCTTTTCGCTATCATCTCTAGCGATTGCTGCTCGTCAGATTAGAGGCGCTCGAACGCCACCCAAAGGATGTCTGCAGAAGCAGCCCGAGTCCTCGTTTCCATAAAAGGCCGCTGTGTCTACGAGCCTGGGAAAAAGGCGAGAATCGCAAGCGACTTCAGACAATCTGCTTATTAGAAACAAGCCTTACAAAAAGGATCATGGGACTTATAGTAACTAGGCTTGTGAATAAGATAGGCAGGGTTATACCTATCACTCCAACTAATAAGGTACCTATAACCTTCTTAATAAGTCACCCCCAAAAAATCAAGTATTGGTAATTAAATATTTAGGCCCCTATATGAGGGTTTCAGATTTTAGAGCTATTGGATCGACTCCGGGCGTCTTGGAGCACCACTGACACGGAGTTTGATACTTTACTGCCCTGAGGAACTCTGCTTTATTGTAGTATTTAAGTCACAGTGCAGCCACAAGCCCTAGGTTATGCAAACGCACTTTTTCCCCGAATCCGACGAGGTCCGAGAAGTGGCAGATCAGATCAAAATTCCGAGGGACCCGGGGCAGGCATAGCTCAGACAGGTCCGAAGACCGGTCGGAAATACGCCACCCCTCCTCAGATTGATCAAACAAGGGGTTTCACAACCCCCCAATCCGATCCGAGATAAAACAGATGACCCGGGAGCCCGAGAGTGAGAAGGTCCCGCAGAGCCGTACAGTACCAAAGCACAGGTAATCGGCACCTGAGGCAACCGTACCTGGCATTCGGATACTGTTTGAAAGCCGGGCCCAGGACAGGAGCCCTGAGTTATTGCTCCGATTTGAAAGCAAGGAGCTTGTCCAGGATCATCCAACTTGGAGACCAGGAAAGGGAAACATCCCTCCTATTTCCGGGGGAGAATCCCTCGAAATCAAAGTGAGTGAGCTGATCTGCCCACGTGTTTGAGCTCCTCTTGACATGGGTGACTTGAGCAAAGACACCTTTGTGGAACTCCTGGGCGGAGAGCTCCATTAAAAGCGCCGAGCAAGGCCACTTCTTCGAAGATCTCTTGCTGGCAGAAAATGCGTTACCCTCATTGTCTGTAGTAAGAGGGAGGTGAGCATCAATCATGCTGGGTCCCAAGGACTCCGCAGCCAAAAGGAAAAGGATAAGGGTACCCAGGAGTTCCAGGGCCCCAATCCGGCGCTTCGGCGAAGTGTGTGCCAGGAGGGGCTGAACCCATGGAGTGGTAAGGACATCCATGGAGAACCACAGGACCTCCGCCTTGGTAGGGTTGAGAGAGGGCGAGAACCAGCCACCAATCGCCACTCGGCCATCGTCCTCGCCGGCATCGCTGCTCCCGTAGCATGGAGTGTTATGCTGTAGACGTAGAGGGACGCAGGGGCCAGAGTCCAAGATGGAGACGAGAAGAGTTGCCAGAAAACGTACAAGGTCTCCCGGCCTGCATTTCCGCTCCAGTTTCTGTTCCCAAGCATAAAGTGGTTGGAGGTGGGAGCTCACCTGCGGGTAGGCTTTCGCCACCCACTGCAACTTGCCCAGTAAGGAGGTGACCTCCTTTTTGGTATGGAGTTCCCCTGATTCCAACTTCAACAAGGCCGGGCGGAGAATGGCCAACTTCTCCTCCGGGAGCGACACCGAACCTTCTGAGATGTTCACCATGTATCCCAGCCAACGGTTGACCTTTCCAAGGGCATTGTGTGCCAAGAGATAGGACAACCCAGCAAAGTAAGGAAGAGCATGAGGGTGGCCGCCCCCAGTTCTCCAAGGCTCTCTTTCATAATCGCCATGAAATCATCAACAAAGACCAGGAGCCACAGGAAGACCTCCGAAATCTGGTAAGAGAGGCGGGTGAGGATGGCTGCTAAACGGCCCCAGTACAGCTGCGCCGCTGCGCCGAAGCCACACCATAGGTGCCGACCTTGTTGACCCAGAACTTCTTCTTGATCTTGGCCACCATGTATCTCCAGTGCTTCTTGAGAACCTTGATCCTCCGGTGAGCCTTGCTCACGTCCGACTTGAAGAGGGTCAGGTCCTTCGACGCCAGGTGGAGCCAAGCGAAGAGCAAGTCGTAGAGAGTCGGGGCTGTGGTCTTCTTGTCAGTGTTCGCCCTGATGTTGTCATTGACGCCGATGACCGAGGCGTCGAAGATGGTCCTGATCTTGTCCAGTTCCTGGATACCCGCCATGGCCCCGACACACAGCTCTGCGACCGAGCAGTCGCAGAGGTCCGCTGCTTCCTGTTCCGACAGGGGCCCAGCCACCATGTCGAGGAGTTTTTCCTCCAGGAAAGTTTTCTCAATGGTGTCCTCGAAAACCTCCGCGCTGGGGTAGTTGTCGGCAGTAGTGGGAGCCGGGGGCTCCAAGTCTCTCGGTGCATTCCCCAGTTCCTGCTTGGACGGCCATATGTTCGGGTCCGGAAGCGTCGGACGCCTTCACGTAGGTGTTGGAGGAAGTCCCGGTCCGGGTCCTCCGCCAGCTCCACCAAGGCTTGGAGGATGACGGCTGTCCAGGAGAGACCTCAGCTGAAACAGGTCGGTGGAGTCGGGAAGAGAGGAGTGACGTGCCAGTTGTTGGCGGAGGTCTGAGACCCACTGGTCTGGCCAGGGGCAGCCCCGCGCCTGGGTCCTGAGCGATTCCCGAAAGTCTTCTCAATCCAACGGCCAAGCCAGGCCAACTTGCATTTGCCCCTGTCTTCCGGCTTGAGTCTCCCAGGGGATGGCTTACCACCACCATCCTTGAAGGGGCGAGAACGGTGTCCCAGCCGGAGAATTAGGGTGCTAGCCGCCACAGGAGCCAGTGCTGAAGCAATGGAACGGTCTCCATCCGTGTCCCCGGATGTGGAGAAGAAAGCTAGCAGGGACGTGGCCAATTCCAGATTACCAGACGGGGTGGTCCGGATGCCTGCACCTGAGGCCATCCCAGTCAAGGGCCAGATTGCTCAGAACCGCCGTGGGTTTCCTGGCCCCGTGCCCCAGCATACACTGGTCAAAGCAGTGTATCTTCATCCGTGTCAGGCCCGCGAAGTCTTTACACTGAGGTCTTCGAGGCCCCAGGCTGCTTGACCTTTCCTGCCCCTGACTGGACCAGGACAGCCAAATCTAGGAAAATGTCGCAGAATCGACCAAGTCCTGCAATTGGGCCGTCCAATGATTGCCATGAGGTCGCCAGAGAGGGCCAGGGCACAAAGGTCAGAAAAGGTCTCCTCGGAAAGCACATCCTGGGAGATCCCCCCTCTACAATATCCAATTCTCTGACAGAGGCTCCCAAGAAAGGGGCGACTTGTGCAATCGCTGCCTTAGTGCTTCGGGCATCATCCTTCCCAGCATAGAGAATGAGCACTGTAGGCTGAGACGGCTTGCCTGCAGTCGGCCAAGAAGCCACCCCAGGCAGAAGTCTATCCAAGAGTCTCTGAGGGGGGCCTCTAAAGCCCGGAAGAGTTGGAAGAGAATGGGACCAATGGTCTCGATTCCAGCGGACACCCTCGCCTGCCGTTACTCTAGAAGAGCTCTTCTCCGCAACAGGCGGCTGGGCAACTTCCCCAGGGTCGAAAGCCTCCGTGGTACCCCCCAAGGGCGCTGCGCGAGGTGTATTCTGGGAAACCCGAGGAAGTCCCGACTCGTCCCGTGCTCGCAGGGAATCGGCACCTGAGGCAACCGTCCCCAAAGCCGCCAGACTGAGCGAGGGAGTCCCGAGCTTGCCACCACGCCACTGGCTGGGAGGAAAGAGACGGCCCCTCGCCCCTCTGCAACCCCCGGAGGGGAGGGGCCGGTTTCTCACGAGTGGTCAGCTGCCCTGTGGTTCTTCTCGCAGATCTTTCCGTCAGGCAGGATAACAGGGCAGCTGTGGGAGCGACCACAGTCGCCAGGGCATCGATTGAAAGCATGGTACTTCTTGCAGAACTCTTTGCCATCGGATCCTTTGGCCGCCCACTCTTGGTGCGATGCCTTGGTGCGAGCGAATGTCGCCGGCGGTGGAGGGGGGTGTTCCACCGTCTCCTCCGAGCGAGTGGCCCAACGCCAGTCCTCCTTCTTAGACTTGCCCTTGCCTTTACCAGGCTTCTTGCCTTTTCCTTTCCAGTAATCCCACTGCTGGAATACTTTGCCCTTGTCCTTGTCCTTGCCCTTGCCTTTCCTGGGGCCCTTGCTTGGGCTGGACAGTGGGATGGCGACGGAGGCAGAACTCATCGATTTCCATAGACCAGAATCGCGAGTTATTCGGGATCTCTTTGAGGGCAGATGAGATGGTCAGGGTCTCGTCCTTGGCCATGTTCAGGGCCACCTGGCGCCAGACCTTTCTTTCAGCTGTCATTAAAACCCCCAATGAGGGGGCAGGCTCACGGCCCATAATGGTATCTCCGAAGAGGAAGTTGTAGAAGTCGTCCAAGTCTGCCTTGGTGAGGTGAATGCACGAGGGGCCCGTGCATGTTGCCACAACCATGAGGAGAGATGTACGCCAGATCATGAGGACCCGTTTCCACTGTTTCTCCGACTGGACACGATTGGATTCCTCATGGATCCACTCATCATCTTCTTTGCTTTGGCGCTTCTGGAACTTCAATTCCCCATCCTTGGGGTGGTTCGCAACGACCTTGTTGAGATCCGGCTGGGAGCCCGACAGGAACTCTCCCCTGTACAACACCCTCTTCAAGACCCCAAGCATGTGGTCGGAGCCTTCGTATTCCCTCTCCGGTTCCGTGCCGAACTTGGAGAGATAAGCTGCCCTCATTTCTTGGCGGTCACCTCTGCCAATCATAGCTTTGTAGTCCTCGACCGAGTGGATATCCACCTCGGCCAGCTTCCTTTTCTTTAAGAGCTTGAACTGTTCCACCGCGTTCTCCAGGCGGATAGCGGTGAGGACGCACGTGTGCTCATCGTACCCATTCTGGCCTGGTGAGAAGCCCAACTTGGGAGCTTCCTTCCGGAGTTCCTTTTCATCCCAGCGGCCTGCCCAGTCCTGGGCCGTGACGAAGCCCTGTTTCCCCATGACAAAGAGGACTAGCCATGGGACCTGGTGCCTGGCAAGGACCAGACGAACATGCTCATCGATCTTCATGACCTCCTCCTTGTAGGGGTCCGGGCACAGCTCCGGGGGCCGTGCCAGGGTCAACTTGGCGTCGACTTCAGCACCCGGTCTATCCATACTGCCCGGCGGCAGGAGGACCCGGCTTGAGCGATAAGACCAGGAGAGGGCGGGAGGGCAAGAAAAATAACAACACGGGAAACAAACCCCGCGAAACCGAGACCCGTCGTGAGTCTGACCCAAAATGGCAGCCGGCCCGAGCAGGATGCAGAAGTAAGGCTGCTGGCTTGGCCCTATGACATGCGAGTTGATCAGTGCAAGCACGGATTCCTCTACAAGACTTAAGGAGATTAATAGGAATATTCTAAGGGGGGCAAAGGAGACCCTTCCGAGTAGCCAGAAGAAGGGAGGAAACCCCAAGCCCTATGTAAACCTTAGCCCCAAAGCCTCCCTACTTGTCGGGTATCATGGGGAACTAAAGGTTAACTTTTTTGGTTATATAGGGATTTTATAGGGACTATACTACCCGATAAAGGTTAAAGGTTACCAATTCAATAGTAGGCCTTAACCTTATTCTTCGCCGGCAGTTGCAGTTGTCTCGGCTGCAGGACTCCCAGCTATTGCGGTGCAAAGAAAGAGGGCCCGGGCCGATAACCCAGGCGTAGGGCGAAAGCAAGCAGCGAGGCCTCCAACTTTTCAGGCTCTTGTGCGGCTCGTGGGCTTTGTCGAGCTTTTGTGGGGCTTATGGGCTTTCTTAGCCTTGTACGGCGCTTAGGTGCTGCTTGTAGGCGTTTTATTACAGTAACTAGGAGAGGGCAGGCATCATCAGTCCGGTTGCCTACCGTGAAACTGGGCAGTTCCTGACCGCTATCAAACAGGTTGGACCCAATGGCCGTCGCAGTGGCCCAGCCCCTAAACTCTGAACCCTAAACCCCAGGGGCGGGTGGACTTCATTACGCAGCGCATGTCTTAAGCTGCAGGGTTATCCACACGGGGATGCCATTGGGATGGGCAGGCTTGTGGCGATGACATGACCCTGAATCCTTCAAAACCCTGAAAAAATCCTTGAAACCTCCAAGCCCCTAAACTGCTGGCCTCCTTGATGCCGGAGCTGCCAAAGCCGACTACGGGGCCAGCAACACTCGCCCGGGACCTTCGAGGAAGACGCATCCTCACCATTCAAACCTTCTAGCCCTTTGGGTGGTTTAGGTCTTTAAAGGTTTGGGACCTAGGGTTTGTTGGGTGTAGAAGGGTTTCACTTCTATAGCAATCAAACCATATTCTTTATTATAGATCCCTCTTATGGTAACTACTAACACCCGGTAACCCCTTGAAGCCCCACAGCGCAAGAGAACATTAAAGGTGACACTATAATGCTATAGGGCTTTAATATAGGGTTTGGGGCAAATCATACTATAGCTAAAATAAGGAACCGCCAAAACAGTATAGGTAATTATTAAGGCCCCTATATTACTACCCCGTCTTGCAGCCGATGGGCAGAGCCGGGCCGGTAGTCAATCCAACAGCTGCGCCAAGCGAAGCCGTACGCCGGCTGCAGTTGTTGGAAGTGTTGTTTAGGTATATTTGGGTTCAGGGTTCGGGGTTGAAGGTTGGTTTGGATTTTTTTTCCTGCTGCCTTTGCTTGAGTACGGATTTTGAGCTTAAGGTCTATCGAGTTTAGGCTTGGGCCCTAAACATCCCTAAACCCTATACCCGAAACTAAACCCAGTCGTGGATTTCCAATTTGGGGTTTATATATGTGGGTCATCGGCTCAAGTGATTCGGTCTGGCAGGGGCTGTTCTTGCTGGGCGACGGAGACCACAGTCATGGAACTGTACTTCCAAGCAGCAACCGCAGTATTGCTAGTGACAGCATGATAAGTAAACTAGTCGTAATGATAATAACGGCCTGAAGAGTGAGGAACAGTATGAATCGTGAATATACCCATCACCCGAATAATAACCAGTCATGAGATTAATAGCCCGGAAACCCAATCGAAACCGATGGGCAGCTGGTATCGCAGAGAGCCCTAAACCCTAAACAACTAAATCCTAAACCCTAAAAGCTTGCAAGTTGGAGGGCTGAGCATGTTGCCTCTTGTCGTCGCAAGGCGTGAGCTTGAAGGAACAAGCCCGAAATCCTGAAATTCTAGACATTCTAGATCCTGAGCCCTGAACGTCTAGTAGCTCAAGAAACAAGGGGGTTACGACTCCCAGCCGTCGCTGCTGAAATCGTGCAAAAAATCTTGCAATCAATTTTGGCAACAGTCGCGTGCCGCTTGCAAGATAGCCTATATGCCTAAACATAAAAACCTTTACACCCTGAACTTTTGGATCAGCCAACACAGTGGCTGTAGTCATTTCAACCTTAATCGTGTGAAGAGGGTTTTGGGGCATATTATACCACAATTGAACAAGGAACCCTAAGGAAACATAGTACATATTTAGGCCCCTCTGAGTAACCCCTAAGGGAATCCTATGAGGACAATCACGGGACTCAGTTCGTGAAAATATGAGTACCTCGAAATTGGGGGAGCCTGCACATCATTGGGGTCAAGGGTTAAGGGCATTCAGGGTGCAGAGAACAGGGTTCATGGGAGCAGTCTTGAGCCCAAAACTGAAGCTCAGAACCCGGAAGCTTCAAGCTGTACCAAACTCCCCCCAACCCAAACCTTGGAGGCCTCAAAAGGTGGGATGAAGGTAGGTAGGATGAAGGATCCCTTATATTAGTACTGTTGTGGGGATTAATGATACCTTTTTTGAGGGCCCTGACAACTAAACCCTAAACCCGAAATCCCTAAGCCGCAGGAGCCCAAACCCAAACCCCATGACCTGGGCCTGGGTGCAGCTTGAAACGCTGTGGCCCTTGCACCTGCCCAGCAGGTCCTGGGATGCATTGGAGATCGGATTTCAAGGCCCGGTGTCTTTAGCAGACTGAAGGGGTCTTAATAGGGTTTGAACATTGGGGCCTTCAAAATTAAAGTAGAACCTTGGGGGATATTATGCTCAGGACTGTCTGGGACGGTGTAGAGTCTGCATTGTTGGGAGGGGGCGAAAATCCGGGGTCTGGGGGTCTAGGCGCTCATGGTCTACGAGTATACGTCCTCCGTACCTCTGGTTAGTAGGGAATGGAAGAATGGTAGTAATAGTAGTCATAATGGTACCCCATGCCTCCATGCCCTACTAACCAAAGGTAAGCCTCTCATTGTTGAGGGCTCACCAGGGTTGAAAGTTCAAGGCTCGGGGTTTTGTTCTTAGGGGTTAGTAGGGGCTAAACCCTAAGCCCCACTTGCCAGAAGACCCTATAGATTTGCCAGAAACCCCGAGGAAACCCTCAACGTCCCTAAACCCGACAACCCTGCACCCCCCCCCCAGCAAGACAACCCAAAAGCCTTAAATTGGAAAGCCACAGTTCCCCAAAGTGGGCAAAAGAGAGAAACGAGACCGAGACCAGTATATGTCCCCGCCACATGGGCACCCACGTAAAATCTAAAAGCGGCAAAAGAACCCTCTACCCCTCACCTCAACGGGCTTACTGTAGAGCTAATAAGTAGAATAGGGTTTTGGGGCCCATTATACCATATATATATATATATATAAATGTATATATATATATATATATGTAGTAAAGAGCCCGGTAGGAGGGAACCCCGAGCTCAGGTCTCCCAAGGTCGCTTGCAGCCCTGCATCAAAGCTGCACACAGCTGCCGCGAAGATTGGATCCGGGGTCCGACGCGGCCGTGTCGCCGCTGCAGGTTCATGTCCAGGGTATGGCCGAGGGTATAGCACTGGGTTTCGGGTTCGCGCTGGGAACTGTAAGGATAAAGTGCCGATGTAGGGTTTAGGGTTCAGGACTGGAGGACAGAAACCTACTGACTAATTTCAAACAGCTCCGAGACCTTGAATCGACTGGATCAACGACTAAGAATATGATCTCGATCCAACACCGGTGGTGCTCCGTCTCGGTCAAGAGCCAGAGCGAAAGCTGCTGGACGTGTGTTTGTTGTTTTTCTTAAAGGGGGGGGCACCTCATGTCGGGGCCTCATTTCGGGGTCGTTCTAACTTACGCCATAATTTAGGTCATGCCATCCAAAGAATCTGGTTGAAGGGTCCTAAGGATCATGTATGCCAGTTCAAGTTCTGGACTGGGCCCTCATTTTCCGAAACTCACACAGGAGCAGGCTGGCCCCGTATAATAAAAAACGAAGCACTCCCCCTCAAGCTGAGCATTTGCTACGAAGCATAACCTGAGCCACCACAAGGGGATATATTTCAATTAGTTTTATTTTTTGTTGTGGTGACTTAAAGCCGGACGCCAGTCTTCCCGTCTCTGATGCATTGGCCACCTTTCCCTACATTCATCCCCGATGGTTTTTGAATGTTTACCCATGCGTTGCTTTGCTACCAATCCGTCCGTATCGATCTGCCTGTCTATCGTTGCAATCTCCTAAAGACAATACTCTTCTCAGTATCTACATGCGCATGGTCCACTCCGCGGAACAAGTTTCTACATTACATAATCTCAAGGTCCGAGCGCGACTTGAGCAGCTCATTCCAAATATCTTGAGCATTAAATGCACCGAATTCTTTGCAATGGCAGAAGCCACGTCATCATCGGCAGCCGACCACATGCATACGGGCCTGCGCATTCACGAAAACATGCTCATTGTGCATTTTCATCAACCCAAGCCCGAAACCCCAATCCGTACTTACCTTGAACTCAACCCAAGTTGTGACAACCAGAATCAATAGCTGAACAATTAACATGCACACGATAGTGTTAGGGCTGAGGCTGAGGGTCCAGTCCCTTGCCCCCCTTCCTGGACCCCCTGCCCCCTGGTGCCCTGCCTGCCCTTTGCACCCTAAACCCTCAACCCTGAACCCTAAGCCTTTGACCTTGAACCCTAAATTCCACCCAACTTTCCGGAGCCTTTATCCTGGGCCAAACATGGGTGGAGCCTGTAGAGAATGGTGGAATGCAGCTGGGCCTAAGATTCACTAGAATCACTGTTCGGTCCTCGGGGAGACAACGCCCACATCCTCCCTGTGCCTGCCCGGGTTTAAGGGTTTATGGTTGCCCTGCCTTATGTCCTGCCTAGCCCCTGCCCTGTCTGCTGTGCTCGATGTGGGAATTGGGAGCGTAATCCCTAAACACTATAACAGGAAATGGTTTGCGTGTTTGCCTGTGGTATCATCACAGCAGGTGGGTTTAACAGAACTTCCGGTTTCACCGAGTTCTATGATACATGCAAGGAAGGTCGCTCGATGAGTAATATGCTGCCACCCACAAACCCGGGTGTGCCGTGACACCGGGATCACCAGCCACTGCGCAAGAAGGCACCCTGAACCCTGGACCCTAAATCCTAAACCCAAGTTTAAACCCCGAAAGCGAAGCCGTGGCCTGCGGTGCAAAGCCTCCGGCCCAAGCGCGAAGCCTGGGTTTTGCTTGCAAGAAGCTGTTGGGCCTGGGCTTTGATGGCTTTAGGCTTCAGGGTTTAGGAATTGCGGTTTAGGGTTTAGGGCTTAGGGTTGATGATGTGTCCATAAACCCTAGCCCCTTGCCCTGCAGTCTGTCTTTCGGCCTTGGACACCGTTCAAGTTACTTTGGACGGTGGTCAGACCTGTACACTGAACCTGTTAAAGCTGCGTATACTCTAAAACGTATTGAACAAGCTAAACAGGGCTGCAGGGTGACACGTAGCCAGCTCGCTCTCTACAAGCTGTTTGGAAGGCGAGCTGGCGAAATTTGACCGTCGAATGGACCGGTGCTTCTGCAGGCGGAAATTCAAAACACGGGGGGGGGGGGGGGGGCGTCTGTGGAGAAGCCGAACAGACGTCACCAAACAGGACCAACGTGCTGTAGGACGGTGATAGCCCCAAGCAGAAACCCCAGGCCCGTAGCCACCCAGGGAAGCGCCGAGACGCCCGTCAAATTACTGGCCTCTGTTGCATCGTCGGGTCCGGCAGCGCCGGTGTCGGCAGGCTGCGCGAAGAGGTGTTGCAGCCGCAAAGGCAGGACTTTCTGCAAGAATGCTATGGAAGACATCGAGGACAAGGACTGTGACCGAGCCTGTATTGTCCGATGGCTCGCCGAAACTTGGGTCAGGCCATCGTCCAGTAGCCCCAGGAAGCTTGTGAATGGCCTGTCCGACTCATGCAGAAAGGCGAGGATGCGGAGTAACACGTCGGGGTTAAGCTGCTTCTGTTTGTGGAGATGGACAGCCCAAATAAACCGGCCAATCAACTCCGCTTTGTACCTCGGTCCAGACGCAAAACCAAAGCTGTGAACCGAACACCCGGAACTTTACAGTCACTTAGCCACCAATCACGGACTCATCCCTGTAGCAAGTCGAAGCAATCGGAGGAAACACTCAACACTCCAGCCCATGCAACGACCTAGTTCACCCTAAACCCCTAACTCCTATACCCGACACTCCTAAACCCTAAATCCTAAACCTTAAACCCCTAAACCTTAGACTTTAAACCCCTCAACCCTAACCCCTAAACTCTAAGTTCAGTGATGAGATGCAGCTCTCTGCGGCCCCGAACATCCTGTACCATTTGTGCGGCATAGCCCAGTCCCTTCTCCGGTATTACGCATGGCACCTGCCAGAGTGCCACACTTGGAAATTCATGGATGGTTATAAGTGAGGCTATAAGTCGGGTAGCTGTATTTATAACCGATGTAAGCGGACATACAACCCCACTTACAACTACGAATGACACTATCAGGGCCTCAACAGAGGGGCCTTACCAACAAGAACAATGATCATTATCATAGTCAATAGAACAAGGTTGTCGAGTTAATATACACGTAAACTAACACACTCACTCACATACATACATACATACATACACACGCACACACACACATACATAAATATATATGGGCGCACCCCTATTTGGGGTCCCCTACATTTTTCGCTATACCATCTGGCTCGGATATAACCACCCGACTAGGTTATAACCAGCCGACTAGGTTATAATCAGGTATACGTCATCGAATATAACATTGTGTCCATATGGAAGAGCTCATGACGATGTCGACAATATAGGCACCCCCCCTTGCATATCTGCACTGCTGTACTATTGTGGAATTCACATGGCCTTGAGTCCAACTCGAAGCCAACACAACATGTGCAGCATCTAAGTCTCTATGGATGATTTTGGATGTTTCTCACCCTGTGCATTCCAGCGCGTACCATCCCCCTACAAGTGCTACGATTTCGTTTCGTTCCTCACCAGCTCTGCGAAACTAGTTTGAAAACCAACCCGGGAAGTTGCAACAATCCATGCTGTCAGAATGCAAATGCGCTTTAGTCATTAGTCTGGTTCAGTCATTCCCTATAGCGAACTAGGTTTTGGAACCAAAAGCTTTTCCATTTTTGTGCTGTAATGGCGCAATCCCATTAAAGTCTCTGTTTTTGGACGCATTGCTACTTGATGACGTTTTGGCAAACATATAGCTTTCAATAGCATATCCCTGTGCCCCTTTGTGAGTGCCTTTAATGCCTGTAATGACTGCCCCAAGCCAAAATTGAAAACTTGCATATTACAAGCTTAGCAAACGTTGTATAGTGTTTTTCCTGGGGGACGACATGAAGTGTCACTTCTTAGGCTTGGCACTGTTTCTATATGCTGAGTGATGAAGCCTTTGCTTTTTGTATCAGCATACCTTAACCACCACGTAAAAGCCGACTGAAAACCATAATGCTTCATCTAGCTTGCCGGAATTTAAGTTTGTATTCTTGTGAATATTTATTGGAGAGCCACGTCATATTCCGCATTTTGATTCCTGGATGAGTGACTTGTATGCGGTGATTCTCTCAATACGTACATACATTGACTTTTGTCTTACAAACCCGATATACTGGAAAGGACAGACCATTATGTAAAGTCCGCTACATGGCCTTTCCGCTAAAGTCGGGGAATGTGCATATGGTCCCCGGGAATTATGTTTGTTACAAATCACTGCATCATGCCTCAAAAAACCGAATAATTGCTGAATACCTCGGACCATCTATTCTTCTGGTTCTTTCTTAATTTTATTGCGGTTACATTCCCCCTGAAATACCGAAACTTTCGAGCGCTTGGATTTAGGTGTTGATGAAGTAGCGGTGCCGCGGATTTGCTTCGTGAGTTTATTGTGTAACGAACAATCAACCCACCCCAAGCTCACAAACCACAACCCTGGTATATAAGCCCCCGGGCGTTTCGATACAGTTTACCAATAATAAGTGCAGGTTCACCATCAAAGTGTTGGGTTTGACGTTTACTGCTTCGGGTTTGGTGCTAGGGTTTGGGCTCGCTTGTGCTATATACGGCACGGAAGACTTAAACCATTAAGCCAATAAGCCAATCCATCCGGCCTACAGGGGCCTTCAAACTCTGAATGTATTTTGTGGCCTGGTTATAACCTCTGTCTCTGGTTATAACCAGGCAGCCCTAGACCCATCGCTAAACCATTAAACAATTAAACCAATCCACTTGGCTTACAGCACGGGAGGCCCGGACCACTGAACGATTGAACCAGTCCAGTTGGCCTATAGGGCATGGGAGACCCAAACCGTTGAACCATTAAACCATTAAACCAATCCATTTGGCCAATAAGGCACCGGAGGCCTAAACCAATAAATCAATAAACCATTGAACCAATCCGTTTGGCCTATGTATTACTATGTTAGGCTCATTGGGGGAAATAATTGGTTTAATGGTTTAATGGTCTGGTGGTTTAGGGATGGGTGTAGGTTCATAATAGGAAAAAAATTGGTTTAATGGCTTAATGGTTTATTGGTTTAGTGGTATGGGGCAAAAGGATTGGTTCAATGGTTTATTGGTTTAATGGTTTAGTGGTATGGGGCAAAAAGAATTGGTTTAATGGTTTATTGGTTTAGGTCCATTGGGGGAAAGGATTGCTTTAATGGTTTAGGTCCTCTGGGGGAAAGGATTGGTTTAATGGTTTAACGGTTTAACGGTTTAGGCCTAGATGTAAAGAAACCAGGGGGACCCCATATAGGGGGGGGTACCCATATATATGTATATATATATATATATGTAGTGTGTTTACATATATGTGTATATATGAATATAAATATGGTCCCCCCGAGTTATCCACCAATTTAGTGTAAATCCTGTGAATTCTGCATCTCCGGTCACTTATCAACCAGTTTAAAAGACTACTCTATCTATGTGTACTGTATGTGTGCAGAACTAAAGCAATACAGCAGATGCTAGAGAACATGCCTGCGCGCGTGTTTAGGGCAATGGGAACAGTCCCGAAGCATCCCGAGTATTGAACTTCAACGTTTTGGTATCGAACTTCAATACTCCCGGATCCAAGATTCAAGATTCCACGACGAAGTTTCCCCAGGATCTTGAACATTGACTTGAATCTTGGATCCGGGGGTATGGAGGCTCAATCCTCGGGATTGAACTTTAATACTCCGGACTGAACGTCCACGCGCTTCACAGTGGTGCTGTGTAACGAAATCAGCCCTCGTATTATGCATCCACCGTTTTGAAGTTCAATCCACCCGCGAGGCCTATTGAATTCAACAGGGCTGTCGGATTCAAGAAGGAAGATTCAAAATGTCATGGGAAAGTTTCTGTTTCACCTAGCATCTTGGATCTTGAATCCGACAGCCCTATTGAGTTCAATACGCTTATTGAATTCAATAGGGTTTTGTACTTATGCACTAAGGCCTCTGTATATCAGTCATGCTTAACCCTACACTCTGAAATATCCCACACGCTGAGCCCTAAACCCCGCTGCCCGAATGAAACCCGACAGCAGATTAAGGTTATAAACGTTCATTGCATGGTTCATATCTAAGCTGCAAACCCCCAAACCCCCAAGCACCAATTCCTTAACTCCCAAAACAAGTGTAAGGCTCCTCAAACATATAAGATGCCGATGCAAGGTACGGTAATATCTTTCTGGCTAAGGGATATACAGGGTTTCTGCACCTAACACACATCTACATGGTTGTTGCTCAACCATGTCGTAACAGCCGCAGCAACGACAACAGTAAAACTGCAATAATATAAGATGGTTCACTACATATACACAAGCATGACCTTTTGCATTTGCGTCAGACATAAATGCATACAGCGTCGCCACTTGCACAGACCAATGCTGATCCGATGATCTCCATGCACAGATGAATCTCAGATGAATATTCACGCATATAGGCACATTCCAGATAAAGATCTTGTGGAATATCTTAAGACCTTACAAAGAAAATACACGGACCCAACTGCTTTTGCAAATCTGCCGATGTCTGTTAGTAATCATGTGCTTGCGCCTGTTGATATACCCAATCATGATGTAATAGGAAGAGATGAGACAAGACAAAACACAACAAAAACGGCTTCCATAGAAATCTTATGTGGTGCCGCCTCAAGGTGTGTTGGGATTCTTTAATTTTGTCTCGGGGTACAGGCTTACTTTAATATTCTTTGTTGCATAATTTGGTGCCTAATTTGGCTTGCGGCAATACTACGTAAACATGCACGTGCACACACACACACACAGGTAGTAGCAACCGCCAAACTGACCATCAGGGTTCGTGCAGGGAAACGTCTTTAGAGATCTGTAAGGATTTCAAAGGCTTCTGCAAGACACCTAGATAATGTATACTTTGGATGTAAAAGAGTTGCTGAAAAGCCATCAGCCAAGCATTCCCCTGAATCGGTGAGATCTTCAATCCGGGATTCGTCGCAGCCCGGGAGTGGGCCAACTCGGTCAGTTCCACCCGAACAGGATGGATATCCCAGGGGGGTAGCACGAATGTATATATATATATATGCTTTATATGTACATACATATGTACATATACACATACGTATGTATATACACATACACTCGGAACTTACGCAGGCTTCTAGAGTACAGTGGGGCATACTCGGTTTAGGGTTTAGGGTCTCAGGCAATGTATTGCATGGGAGGCGCCCGAACACTCCAACGCCACAGAGCTTGGAGGCATCTGTGGGCTCCGTATCAAGATTTGGTGGTTTCCGACAATTAGGGGTATCTTATTTGGGGGTCTTTATAATAAGAAAGGATCCTACTACTTAGGGCACTGTCTATATTAGGGTCCACTATTCTCGGAAACCTATCTGCGAGGATCGGAGCAGGATTTGGCATGGGTTTGAACCACGGAGACCACGGAGAAACCTTAAGCCAAAACCAAAGTCGGCGCAGCCATCGAAAATCGAATGCAGCAGTGCCGCAGAGATCGAGTCGGGCACCACAAAGCAGCATCGTAATAGACTACGTCTGTTATTGTCTCCATGTTCGAAGTCCTGCCAATTCCATGCTATCATTAAAGCAGTCCTTACCCATATACTGGTTATGGTTACAGCTGCCCTGCGTATGTCCCCACTTATGACTATCCATGAATATCACATACCCTACACATACCCGACTTATAAACTTTGCATGAATATCACATACCCTACATATATCCCCACCTATAACTATCCATGAATATCACATACCCTACATATATCCCCACTCATAGCTATCCATGAGTATCACATACCGTATACATATATCCCCACTCATAACTATCCATGAAAACCACATACCATACATATATCCCCACTCATAACTATCCATGAATATCACCTAACCTACATATATCCCCACTCATATGTAACTGTCCATGAAAATCACATACCCTACGTATATCCCCACGTATGTTTATCCATGAGTATCACATACCCTACATATAACCCCACTTATAAACTATCCGTGAATATCACATACCCCACATACCTGGAACCTCCTGCGGCAGAAATTTTCGCCGCAATGCATTGCGGCGTTTATTTTTGCCTCATTTGCTTTTTTCTGCCGCAAGCGATTGGGAAACGCCGAAAGATTTTGCGAGGAGAAGCCCAAAAAGAAGAAACGCCGCAGCGAAAGAAGAAACGCCTCAACTTATGCGTCTTCGTGCGCTTTTACCCAAACTTGTGGATGAGATTGTAGCAACTACCACACTTCGCCGTCATCATCATCATCAGCATCATCATCTTTGTTATCTTAGTCTTCATCAGTCTGCATTCCCATCAACTTCAACATCTCACATTTGACAACATGAAAACCATGGTGGTTTCACGATCACCACTGCTATGTACATCTTCGCCTTTGTCTTCATCAGATTCACCAGCATCAACACCAGTGACCAGTATCTTCCAAAACACGTATCATCATCCTCACCCAAATCGAAGGATCCAGAGGCTGTCGTGTCCAGCGGGCATTTTGTTGTAGGCGGGGAGTAGCACAGCAGAACACTCGAAAGTTTACCCACAAACTTCCAAAGCTTCAGGTACTAGTTGCAAAAACATACGAGGTCCGTTGCTGCTAGCAGCCCCAAACACAAGCCTAAACGAAGACAAAAAGAACAAGCGGCCAATAGCCGCTCCTTCCCGGCGAATCGGTCAGCATATACTGCATCAGGCTCTACTGACTCTACTGTTCGGTTCGATTAGGTAGAAGCGGACATGTGTAACCTGCTGAAATTCCCGATATGCCTGCAGTATAACGAATCATAAAAAAAAACATAATTTTCGATTTGACTGCGACGGCTCTCCGCCAAAAATATATCTTCTCTTATTGTGTTCAGCAAATGGTTGTGAATTGCGACTGCACGGTTTTCCCAAGCATGTATGTTTGATTTCATGGCCGTTTCTGATTTCAACATGCGGAATTTCGGACGCCTTATAAAGGCCACGGCATGGGATAGATTTGGTTTCTGTCTCGCATGGCGCTACAAGCCGAGGTTAGCGTGTCTTATCGCGTAAATTTTGCAATATGTGGAAACTGAAAAAGGCATGTCATCTAAGGAGTCTAATCCAGTACCAAAGTAGTGGATTTCAACACGGTTAACCAAGTTTCCTCAACAACCGGCGCTGTAGGACGTAATGCAGTTTATTGGTTCGACTCACTGTGGCTGGAGCACGCCTGAACGACGCGCGTGCCTGCAAAAACGACGTGGTCCGGACATACTGAAGCATAGAATCAAACCTGCCCTCAGAAAAGAACACGAGGGAAGGGCGCAGCAGGACCTGAAACCAAAAGCGCTTCATAAAATACAGAAGGAACAACGTTTAAACTGCGGCTTCTGCTTTCCTGGTGGCGCAGTGGCCGCAGTGGCCTGTATTTGGGGCACAATGCGGACGTCGCGAACATCTCTCTGTTTTCTTCAAGTTTCCAAACAAGGGGTTCGTCTACGTAGTTTCGGGTTGAAGGTTCCGTGTTTAAGGATTCTGCAGTTTAGGATTGAAGCTGCGAAGGTTTAGGATGTTGGGCATGCCTCCGCATGAGAGTTGGGTACGAACTTGGCCTTTTATTTGTCAAGCGTTTGGCGTACACTAGGAAATGCACGAAGTAGGAAGACTTGCGGTTATTATCAACAAGTCTTGCCGTCTGAGCAGACATATTATCTACATCTGCACCTCGCAGTTCAATTTGCGACCGCGACATGGCAAACCCACGACAGATGCTAGCACTGTGCTATACTTTCGGTGCCTAGCACAAGACTATCCCGATGCTGCATGATGCTGCATGGCTTTCAAATCCGGATGCATGGACGAAATCGCAACAAGAAGCTTCTGAAACCCATCGGCACACTTGTTACCGGAAGGGTGTCCGCATCTTTCCGCCGCAATGTCGGGAGTTTCCGCCGCAATGACGGGAGTTTCCGCCGCAATTTTGGGGCACAAAAACCATCATAAATCGCATCCAAAAGTGTTTTGGAGTCACAATTCTCGCTCACCCAGTGTTCTGGCGACAACACTGGCCCAAAACGAACATGCTGTCCTCTCAGTTCCAACATCCTTCAGACTTGTTTTGGCAAAGGTCGTTCGGCGAAATGATGTGGGGGGATGCAAGTCTCAACAAAGCGCCGCCCCTTTGCATTTCGCACGCTCGCACCAAAAACCTGTTGGGACTGAGAACAGACCGTGCTCGTCCTCGGCCAGTGCTGTTGCTAGTAGTAACGAGGAGTGAAGCTTGATTCCCGAACAAAGCCTAGATGTGTTCTTGCGGGTTTTGTGCATCCCGGAATTGCGGCGGAAAACCCCGTCATTGCGGCAGAAACTCCCGACATTGCGGCGGAAAGACGCGGACACCCTTCCACTAACATGTACACAATTCACCCACCTGCGCAAGCATTTTTTGCAATTTCGTCCACCCATCCGGGCTCGAGGGTGTGTTCATGATGCAACACCTGGAGAGTCGAGTGCTGGGCATTGGAATTTTGTGCCTGGAGGCTAGCACGTCGCTGCTGATTAACTGGCTGGTTCATCAGTGCATACATGTGCTTTTGCATGTTGGCTTCCATGGAGTCGAGGAACCGTTTGCAACTCCAAGTTCCCTCATTAAAACCTGGATTGAACTCCAAAAAAAAGATAAATTCAAACCAGCACAAGCTCCAAACCCAACCTGACGCGGGAATCACGCCCCCAACCCTCAACGCCATCAATTAAATCCTGTACTAGAGAAACTTGAAAATACACACTTTCTACCCGAAGCTGGTTATTAAGTGTGCCTCCGGAGGAAATGAAGTTGTTCGCAAAGAAGCACAACAATGTCCGTCCCAAATAACTGCCGCAAAGAAAACCCATCATGTCCCTCGGACCGGCTGTTGCTGCAGCTTTAGATAATCATTTCGTCTTTATCACGGTTTTTCTTCCGGGGCAAGCGTTTAGCAATTAGGTCCTGCTGAGACCCGTACTTCCGTATCTTGTCTTAAAGCCAGATCTGGAGCTGCACGTCGGCATGTCTGTGCTACGCCTGTTGTTGAAGCCACAAGGTGAGCTCGAGCCACACTACGTCTGCATTATCTGATGAGCGTGCAATTAAGCACCTTAGCCCGAAGTTAGGTTCATCCCTCATCGCCAGTTCTGCTTACCAAAAACGGCCCAGTTAAAGTTCTCTTGTTTTCAACTGTTGAAATTCTCGCATCTTTCCACTTTTTTGCACTTCCGCAATCAACTCGGGGGTGTGGGCTTGGGCTGCACCGAAAGATTTGTAAAATTGACGCCATGCAAGACAGAAGCCAAATCCATCCCGGTCCTTAGACATCCTACATGCTGAAACAACCTCGAAATCAACAACACCGTGCTTCGTAACACCCTATCGTTGCAACGAAGCACGAACAGCATCCACATGGTTCTCAACGAAAGTCGTCGCAAGGATATAAGGAACGTAAACATGAGATAATTGCACTCTTGCACCCGAAAGCAAGTAGCAGGCGCAAGTTACAAACTTGGTGTTTCAGCCTGCTATGAACATACCTCGGTTTATGCAGTTTTCATGTCCTTATACAGTCTAAACCGGCCGGCCAGCACCATGTCACTGCAGGAACATTCGACCATAAGAACATGGAGCTGCAAGCTGGCAGCAAAACCAAAATTCGTTCGTGAAAAACAAAAACGCCGCCGAAATTACAATTCTGCCGCAACTGATGTGCTGTATAATGCTGGATTTAGGTTTCTGCCGTCAGACATGTCTTTCCGCCTCCGATTGCGTTTCGGCGCCGCAACCCTATTGCGGCGGAAATTTTTGCCGCAACGGAGTTTCCAGGTATATATCCCCACGCATAAACTATCCATGAATATCACATACCCTACATATATCCCCACTTATAACTATCCATGAATATCACCTACCCTACATATACCCCACTCATAACTATCCATGAATACCACAAGCGAGCGTTAAACCAAGGGCCTCTGACAAGTGCCGACGTCGCATGCTGAGACGGTCGAAGCAGGGCGCAACCTCTTCAGAATCCTGCTCTTTTGTTCATATAGCGGCCTTAACAATAATTTGAATAAGGTTCCTTTATAGCAGTCTATAAGTGTTACTATAAGGTATCGATAAAGCGTTCTATATTCGAGGGGCCTTAACAATTAGATAGCATTGGTAAGTATTTAGGCCCTTACGGTAAGGAGTTTCGTTGAGTTACCATAAAAGGCATCTATTGTCGATAAATATCGGCTCCTTAGTATGGTAACTTAAATTGAATTCCTTAACCCCGAAGAACCTACACTTTTAAGGACTTATATAAAGAAATCATAGTAGGGAACCCTAAAAAGGTAGGTTATTCAGGGTTAAGGTAAACCCTGAACCCCTACCTTTTGTCAGGGATCCGCATAGCAGGACCCCTAAACCCTAAACCTAAAAAGGTAGGGGTTATTCAGGGTTTGTAGGAATTCCTAAACAGGAACCCACAGGAACCTTAGGTTATTCAGGGTGAAGTTGAACTCCTAAACAGGAATTCCCAGAATCCTTCAAGCTGGATGGTGTGAGAGGCGAGGACTGTCGCCCAAGGTACCTCAACTGGCCGTGAACCCCAGAAACATTGCAGTCGCATGGTTTAGGGTTTAGGGTTGGTGATATGCAGCTACAGCAACAACTGCAAAGTTCTTGGATTTCCGAGGCACCATATCCTGGTACGCATTGTCACAAAGACAAGGAACTCCAATTGTAGGATATGCCGAAGGAACGGTGTGAGCTGGACCGGCATTCCAGCATGAGACGTGCAAAGCTGCAAAGCTCTTGCTATCGCGAGGCCACCGTATGAAGCCCACGCTACGCTCCTCAGTTATGGTCATGATGAAGTTGCCGATCACCAATGGTCATCATCTTCATCATCACCACCATCATCTTCATCAGCATCAACAGGAACATTATTGTCAGCGTTATTATGATTTTTATTATTCTCATCATCACTCGCATCTTCATCATCATCACCAATGATGAGCAAAGTCACCACCAAAATCACGGCCACCATCGTCATAAAGGCGATCATGGTAATGTATTATGAAGATGATGGAATAGGTGGTGTTTGCCAAACCGAACAAAATTGGCGATGCCCCCGGCGAGGGCGACGATATAGACATGGCTTGGCCGCGGTGGGTGATGTGGTTGTGGCTGTGGTTGCTGTTGTCGATTGAACAACAATGCTCCTTCCGGTGCAAGTGTGATCTTTGTCTTTATGATGGCGTTGCTGATGTTGATGTCATTGTTGCTGCTGTCGTCGTCGTTGCTGTTGTTGTTGCTTCTGCTGCTGTCTGGCCATTGGTGGTGGAACATCTGTTCTCGTTGTTGCTGTTGCAAATGCTGTTGTTGTTGTGGTTGCCAGGTGTTGCTGTTGCTGTTACTGCAGCTGCTGGTGTCGGGGGAGTGGTGCTGGTGGTGCTGGTGCTTCTGGTGGTGCTGCTGCTGCTGGTGGTGCTAGTGGTGGTGGCGGTGGTGTTGGTGGTGGTGTTGGTGGTGGTATTGACGGTCATGAAAGCTGGTGGTGATGATGGTGATGCTGCTTGTGTCGCAGCTATTGTAGTTGATGCTGCCGCCGTTGCTGTTGCTGCTGTGAATGCTGGTGATGTTATCGTTGTTATTGCGGTTGTTGACGATAGGATAGCGATAGAGCATGATAGAGATCTAGAAACAGATGCCAAATGAATAGATAAAGTTATATCACACGGAGCAACCCAATTGGCTATCTTGCTTTGGGGTTTAATAGGTATGCTTTTTCCAGGTGGTTTATTTCCCGGTCGAAGTTTTCACCTTTTCAGGGGCTTCGGGTGTTTAGGCTCCTTTTAACTGCTCTTGCGGCCTCTTGGTCAAGACTTCGTGCGACGTCCTCCCGGAGGTAGGTCCTCAAAATAATTAATGGGGCACCCGTTTTTTTTGTGGGTTCCTAAATAACAAGTTAAAGCCCCTGCACATAAGGACCCGGTTTCGATCCGACCAGAGCGACCCACTTTGGTGACAAGAGGGGGGGGGAATCGCTGGGTGTTGGACACAGGCTTTAGGCGACGGTCGACGGTTTGGGGCTCTGGGCCATTATGGGGATGAGTCTTCACACCTGATGTGCTCATCTTCCAAGAAAAGACTACAGGCCGAAATAAACCCCCAAAAACCTCCACGGCAGAACCGAGCGGCACGTTGAGCGGCTCGTCCAGCACTGGAAGGTACAACAGGAAACCCAAGACTTGCAAGGAGGTGTCCGCAATGTCTTGTGCGCTCCTGGGCTTGCATCAACAGCACTGGTACGGATCTGACGCAAGCACAACTAATCCTTCATCTTCCGGAGAAGTGGTCTAATGGTCTATACTGAACTTAGAACCCTAGCAACAATTATAATTTTAGCTGTTTCTTAGGGATTATAATACCCAAAAATTAAAAACCATTTCTAGGTACCAAGAAGTGGTGATCACACAATCAACTTCCAAACATCTGCTCAGGTTCCCGATAACCAGCATGGGTGCTGCTAAGCCAAAGAGCGGTATCCAGGAAAAGAGGACCTGTAGCACCCAGAGACTCCAATATCCCTTAATTAAGGAAATTTTCTTAAATTGTAATGCGATCCCTAATAACCTAATATGACTTAAGGAATATTCCTTAATCAAGGGATATTGGAGTCTCTGGGTAGGCACAAAGGAGAATGCAACACCCAAGCTCTCAGCAAAATCGGGAGCCAGGAGTTTAGGGATTCGGGGCCCCTAAACCCTAAACCCCGAACCTTAAACTCTAAATCCTAAGCTCCTAAACCCCTAACCCTAAACCGACTCAAGCCCCAACTAGCCATCAAGAAACCGAACACTGCAGTCTTTGATGCCTCCAGGATGGAGGGACTCTGGGTCTGCCAAAAAAAACCCTCAAAGCTTTAGGCTTTAGGGGTTCAGGGGTTTAGGGGTTTAGGGTTTCAGGGGTTTAAGGGATTAGGGGCTTTGGGTTTCAGGGTTTCGGGTCTACGGGTTTGGGGTTTAGGGTTGAAGGGTTTGAGGGCTTAGAAAAAAAGGCACGAGACCCCTAAACCGTAAACCTCGCTCTCTAAACACCCAAAGTCCTTGTAGAAACCCTCGAACAGGAACCTTTAACAAGAACACCTTAACCCAAAATCGAACAGCTATGAACAGACCTCTACATAAAACACCATCAACGCCCCTTGTAGAACTCCTTCTTGATATGAACTCTTACAAAAAGCCCTCATGCACCCACTTTGTAACCAAGCCCTAAACCCTGAACCCCAAACTCAGACGAACCGCAATTAGCTCATTGCTTCGGTTTGGGTCTTCGAGGAAGTGGGCCACAGAGGGCAAGGCATCCTGTGGAATGCAGCGGCGCTTTATGAGGGTGCATGGGGTTTATGGGGATTTAGAATGATTTAGACGGGTATATAGGAGTTTATAAGGGTTTCTGGTTTAGGGTTTAGGGTTTTTTTCTGGCCATCTAGAAATGGGCTTGCGTTAAGGGCTCTTCAAATGTTGTTTACACAGCTTGCTAGAATCCAGGCGCCGTAGTCAGGAAGGGGGTTCCTTGAATTTAGAGACTCGCCTGTGCGCAGGATATAGGTGTCTTCATCGTACACTACAGAACTATCATATGATATAACCTGATAGTTAACCTACTATGTTATGTTCTACTGTCTTATACTGTACTGTTACGGTATACTCGGCTACTTATACTGTGCTACACTGTGCTATACTAAGCTATACTGGACTGTACTTTGCTATACTCTACTATAGCACAGGACACCATACAATGCTAGACCTTACTAAAACAAACTACACTGAACCATGCTATACTATAGTTACATTGTATCTATACTGTACTATAACATAGGACAACATGCCTTATTAGACGGTGCTATGCTATACTTTACTGTAGTATAGTCTACTGTACTCTACTTTGCTATACCGTACTATAATATACTATAACATGGGACAAGGTACTATACCAGACTAAACTAGCATATACCGTACTATACTATACTGTACTGTAGTATAGTACAGCTTAATATAGCCAAGTTCTATGTGGCCTAACCTAAGATTATACAACACCGTAATCTATCCAAAAGAAGTATGCTGACTCATGTCAAACTGAGGACTGTCCCCTAGTCGTTGGGTCTGGCTTTCGTCATTCAGAGGATGCTGTCAGAAAGCCGAAACTTACTAAACAAAACGAAGAAGAAGAGCATACAACTTCATTCATAGAGCCCTAAACACTAACTATCACTATGCCCAAACCCTGTATTCATGTAAACATCATGTAGCCGAAGGATGACCCGGGAATATAGTACTATTGCAAAGCATGGCATCCTTCTGCCAGAGCCAGATGCCAAGGGCCGACAATATCAGGGCCATCACGATATGCAAAGTAATGATCATTCGGTACCTGGTGCTGTCACACCAGAGCTTGGCTTCTTTTGCGTTTGGTGACTTTGACATTAAAAGGGATTCGACATTGGCTGGGCACGGTGCTGCCCTTCACCTAGCAGTGTTTGGGCTTGGCACAAAAAACGGAGAGCGGCTCTCACGAAGGGACAGGGAACCTGAATGGTGCGTCTTGTCCCTGCATCATCAGAGCGACCATGACCGCGCAGATACACGGCACATAGAGGAGGATCACCTCCAGTCGGACATGGTGCCTGACCGCGGCGCCGCATGGCGGCCGGAAAACGTGTGCCAGCAGCTTCATGGAGTCGCCGCAAGCTAGCTGCAAGGACAATAAGAGAGGCATGGAGTTCAGGGGACGACATGATTTGCTCTAAGGGTTGAGGGTGCTGGGATAGGAAGCGTGTTCATTATCATCCGCAGGCTTCGGGTTTGGGATACCGAGTTGTCGGGTCTGTTCTGCGTCGTTGTAGATAGGCTACAGTAGCCTTGATGCCGGTATAGGCGTTGTAGATAGCCTACACTAGTCTCTCAGCCTGTATATTTTCTACACGACCGGCTGGCTGCAGACAATGAGAGAAGCATCCACGGCCAGACCAAGCGCGGGCAGGCGGGGAGCCTGCAAGCCACCCGAAACCCTAAACCCTCCAGCCGTTCAGCCCTAAAGCCTAAACCCCGGAAGCCCTAAACCCGATATAAACCCTAAACTCCAAAAACTTGAAGCCGAATAGCCCTCAAGCCCCGAAAAGAAATTCGCAACTTCGAGCTCCAGCCGAGCCTCTCCGGCGCGAAAGCGGAAAGCTACCTGACCCTTGACCCCACACTAATCACCCGGGTTTAGGGTTTAGGGTATAAATATTATGATGGATCCGATTAATTATAGGATCAGCTAACTATCCGCCAAGCAAACCCTAAACCCTAAATGCCCTAAACCCTAAACCCAGACCTTCTTAAATCATATCGGGATTCCTACAATAGTTTAAGATACATTCCTGAACTGATCAAGGGATTTTGGAAGGTCTGGATAATAAGGCCCCATGCACTAAATCCTACAAACCCTTGTTAAAGAACCTTTGCAGATCCCTTAAAGGAGCCCTGTTCTCGCGATGCAGGCCGCTACGTTACCCTACAGGGTCATACCCTACTGTAGGGGTCTTGATGATGAGAATAGGGTTTTGGGGCATATTATACCATAATTATGATAAGGAAACCCCAAAATCATAGAGGGAATCATTACCCCCCCCCCCCCCCATATTACAGGGTAATACCCTACTCCTTTTCAACGTTTGGGGTACGGGACTAGGGCTCAGGGTTTGGGCTGAAAAGGTTAACCCCAAACCCTTTGTAATGCTCGGGTTTCCGATGTATGAGAGTTTCCGAAAATTAGGGGCACCCTGTTTTGGGGCCCTTGTAATAAGGATCCTACTATTTAGGGTACTATCTTAAGGGTCCCGGAACTCCCGTATAGGTATAGGACCTAGATTCTGGTGCACACTGTATAGCTCCCGACGTCTTTCACGCTGAGGGTCATGGGACTTTGAAATGACTTAGTGACTTGGATTTCTCTCACTTTGTATGCTCCGTGAAAGCCTCCCCATCCCAGCCCCAAACTGGGGTTTAGGGTTTTGGATTTAGGGGTTTAGGGTTTGGGGCCTGGGGGTTTAGGCTTAGGGTTTAGCGGCTTGGCGTTTAGGGACGGCAACTCTGAGCCCCTCCAAATCTTCTCTGAAGAGAATGCAGGCTAGTGCAACTCAATGGCCCGACTACCTGTGCCTAATATCAGCAAGAGTATTAATATTAATAATACTAGTAATGCTTGTCATATAAATATAATGACAATTATCATTTTAAACATAATGCATAGCAGCAATCATAATAAGAATCATAGTAACATTAGGCAGTATGGCTTTCCCAATCTCCACTCCCGACAGAATCGCGTGAAACTGATTGCGCTTCGTGCAATCCCAGAAACTGGCTCTCCCCACCTGGCACCCTGCGTCCAAGCTCTGCCTTCATCACCTCACCAGGCAGGAAGGATCTTTACCAATCCCTCTCAAATCGAGGGCAGCAATCACCACCCAAAAGAAACTGTTTATGTCAAACCCTAAACCCTAAACCCCTAAACCCTAAACCCTAAAACCCTAAACCCAAATACCAAATCCTTCCTCCAGAAGCCTCAGCAGAGCCCAAACCCCGAGGGCCTGAACGGCCTTGGCACCGCTTCGGACACTTCAGTACAAATTCAACTGAGCTTTACCCAAAGGCTCCATAGTAGTTCCTTTTAGGGATTACCTTGAAGGATTCTAAATATGAACCCCCAACAGGAACTACTGTGGAGACCATGGGTATTGCTGCATGGTTCGATGCACTTCAGCACCAAACGGCGAACGGGGCAGACCAGAGAAATAGACTCGCGGTCGTGCAGCTCGTCATCACAGCAGATACAAATGCAACTTGTACTGGCGCAGATGTCCGCACTGCCGTGGCTGCCATCTGTGCGAACTACAATTCAAGTTTTCAGAAATGGACATGAGGTGCATGGCGGCAAGAAGGCAGGGGAAACCTGACATGAGGCTTCATCCGAGGCGACAGCAACAGCGACGATTCCGATACTCATGTCGTTCTCTTGACGTCTTTGTGGGCTCAATGCGCAATTGACGTCTGCTGCTTTGCGCTTTGCGGCTCGCGACAAGTGCAGACCAAGTCGCAGCTCTTGCCGGAGAACCGTACGACCGACCAGGCAAAAGAAGCCATCCCTGGGCCCTAAAGAACCTACCTTTTGAGGGCCCCCTAATATGATTTCGGTTCCTAAAACGGTAGGTTATTTGGGGTTAAGGTCTTCGAGAATGAGAATGGCTGGCACCTGACCGTTGGTGCGAAATTGCTGCTCCTTGGGCCGATATTCTCAGCGGACTATCGAACGGAAAAAGCTCTTGTACGCAGCCTTTCAACGCCCTCAACCCGAAAAGCTGGCAGCATCCTCGAACTGCTCTGAACTATCTTGAGCTTGATGTGACACGTGCCGCTTGCAAGCTATCATAAGCTATCCATGTGCTTCTTGTTAGCACAGCCCACCTCGGTTAGTAGTGATGGAGCAAGTCCCGCATTTCTTCCCTCCCTGCAGGACGTAAAAGTAAGACTTGACTCAGGGCGCGGGTATGTGGCAAGTGCCCTGAACACTTTCTTCTTGCGTACAGCCCGGAGAGAAAGAAACTGCTGTGACTGATAGAAACACACACACACACATACATCTTATGTACATGTATATGCAGGTGTATATATATATATATATATATATATACTATATACATATGTATGGTTCTCTCTCTCTCTATCTACCTAGCCAGCTATCAAATCTATTTACTTATTGAAACACTGTTGACGGTCTTAGCACTTGAGCGGCAAGGAGGGCTCACCTGGCGATGCATCGCCGGTCGTCCGATTGGCATCGCGGCGAGGCCTGTCGGAGCCACGACGAAGACCGTGGTGGTGTCGGCAGCCTGCGTGCTTCAGGGCCCAACTGGCTTACCTTTGGTTAGTAGGGAATGGAGGAATTGGGTACAATTATAACTACTATTACTACCATTCTTCCATTCCCTACAAACCAAAGCTAAGCTGGGGGATGTTGAATATTCTCGGCTTCTGGATGAAAACACAGGGAAGACACGGGATGTGCCAGTGTTGTTAGCGATGCTGACGCTGACGACGACGATGATGATGATGATGGTGGCGATGACGTCGATGGTGATGATGTTGATGACGATGGTTATGATGTCCAGCAGGGCGATCCCAGTTCTGGCGGAGGCGGTGTTTTTTTTGCTGCAGCTGCTTGAACAAAGCATTTCATTTGTGATGATATCCATGCTTAGGAACTGACCCGCTTGTTCTCGATGGTTCTGATGATAACATATTGACGGAGATGACTGCTGCTGATGATGATGATGATGCTGATGATGATAGTAACTACAAGGACCATAGCGGCGACGGAAGAGGGACGGGCCACCCTGAAACAGGCGAAGTGGATGACAGAGACCGGGGCCTGGACTTACCTACGGTGGTGCTCCAAGACCAAAGCCCTGGTCCTGGACGAGAAAAAGCCTGCGTGCCAGCACGACGCAGTGGTGAAGCAGCTCAATCTGATCCACTCCAATATGAAGGGCGAGATCGTACAGGCCTTCCACAGCACGCAAACTCTGCAAAAGCTGGAAATCCAGGGCGCCAGCACAGCGGCGTTCAAACTCGAGATAAGCTTGCGAGGACAGGAAGCCACGGAGACACACGAAGCATTGACGTCTCTCATCAATTGCTCGGTCACGGGTCTCATCGGCATGTCCATGAAGCGAGAAACCTCCCAACGAGGGCACCTGTCGCGTCAGCTGGCCCAGATGGTCTATGGCAACTGGGTGCACCCAGGATGTCCTCCGATACCAGCATCGAGGATACCAGTGACGTCCGGGCTACCAATGAGTCCACACCTCAGCCTGCCCCACCCTTTCGGTTTAGCAACCCCAACAACCTCTGCTATATGAATTCCGCCTTATACTGCCTTTGGCTCGTTGCACAGAGCACGGGACATCTCCACATGCTTCCTGAGGCGCTGCGGGGCAACAAAGTTGGGAGCCTGAGCGCTCGCCAACTCCTGGGGTTCCATCTGTTGGGGTGGTCACGCCCTGATCGGCAGCACGATGTATGTGAATTCATCGCTTTCCTGTTTCCCAGACTCACGGCCAGTGTCATCACAGGTCGGGTGGACTTGCGGCAGCATCATGAGGACGGTGTTCGGATTACGGCTGATAACAGTCTTCAGCAGTGCATTGTCCTACCTGATACGCCTCGTAGGTCACATCACCTGCAGGATCTGCTCAACTTTTGGCATCAGCAAAACGACATGCACGCTCTCACGCGTGCGGATGCCTGGGTTTTCTTGCAGTTGCCTAGATTTGCGTGGCACCGGGGACGTGCCAAGAAAACCAAACAGACCTACCACATAGCTCAGAAGCTTCAGGTGCCAATCTACACAGACGGGCACAGCCTTTCCGTTAGGTGGGAGACCTACAGCCTCAGAGGGCTCATACAGCACCATGGACCCAATCCCGCTGCAGGTCATTACACAGTCGTCCAGATCGGGGCAGATCCGCATCAGCACTGGATGATTGATGATGAAAAAGATCCCTTAGCTCTCGACTCTGACATGATGAAGCATGCATGCGCCAACATGTATGTGCTCGCTTTGACATGTGATACAAGCCCAGCACTTCACAGCTCAAGCGAACCGTACTTTGTGTCTGAGCCTCATGTCTCGCCCTATTTATGTGCCGATCAACGACCTCCCACGGGGAGAGATGGACTGGCATGCAGCTCAACTCTATCTTCTGGAGTACCAGCTGAGACAGATAGCGGCGGACATGGCGACGCTCAATCATGTATACCACGATCTATCTCACAGAGTGCGTATGATGGAACTGCGCTTGAATGCTATCCTCACTCCAGGGGGACGGAACAAGTGTCGGCCACCATTGCAGATCGTATGGTTCGATGAGCTCGACGACTAGCTTCGAAGCACTAGTCGTCCAAGGCGCTACGGCGCATTAGCTGTGCTCAAATGAGCATTCGTGTTAGCCTCCAATAGCAGAGGCCGTCCATGCAAATGCATGTGATGAAGCGCGCCCGCTAGACCGTACTCTCGGCTGCGCGTGAAAAAAAAAGTAACTACAAGGTGGTGTTGATCATGAGAGGGACGACTACGAGGGTGGGGATGTCGTTCATAACCTGTTAGTAGTTACAGCAGTAGTTATATGTCGAGACGGTTTGAAGGACGAAGAACTTAAGAAGAGGAACAATGAGTTGATAATCAGCAGGATGAAGATGACCACGAGCTGATGGTGATGCTCCAGCATCCCTGATAACAACAAGACAGATGCTAACGATACCTCTCCTGGTATTCCTCGTGGAGATCGATGGAGCAGAGAACGAAAACTGAAAACAACCAACACGACCAGTGTCGACTAGATGGCACGACATTGACAATGATGTGGTGGAGGAAGAGGAGGCGCAAAGCAAGAGGAGGAGGAGCAGGAGGAGGAGGAGGAGGAGGAGGAGGCGTTTCACACAGCGATACCCCAGCATTTCACTGACCCAAGCACCTCGGTTTGCCCGTAATGGTTCCGCACCACGAACTCCCCAGCACGAGAGAGTCTTCTGCAAAGCTCAGTCGAAAGTGGTTCGCCTCAGTCAGACTAACTTCCAACCAAGTTTGCAATTGCTGGAAATGCCATCGACATCGGGATCCGTTTCTGTGCAGCACGTCGGGAACACAGGCTCGCAACGCAGACATGCCAGCCGGAATCTTACAAAATCAGCGTCGCACCCTTTCAAGGACAATAGCTGTGCTCTTGAGCTGCAATGCCAGTTCCAGGTCCCGCACAGCTTTGTTTGAGGCGGAGGGTGGAGCTCTACTGCTGAATTCGTCTGAAACTAATGTACTGCCCGGGCGCCCGTCAGCACCAAGTGGCGGCATGCCCCGCCCATGGGCTGAAACCCGGCAGTCAGCATGGCCTTGCAAAGCTGTCGTTGCAAAATACCACACCTTTGTGCTCTTGCATGTCGTAGTTATATACCACAAACCTGTGGGCATCTTCACGTTCATGCTCGCAGTGCTGCTCGCATTGTGCTCTTGAACGGGTCTTAGAGAGTTATTAGTAATAGTGGTAGTAGCACCAGCAGCGACAGCAGCAGTAGTAGTAGTAGTAGTCGTAGTCGTAGTCGTAGTCTTAGTCGTAGTAGTAGTAGTAGTAGCAGTAGCAGTAGCAGTAGCAGTAGCAGTAGCAGTAGCAGTAGCAGCAGCAGTAGCAGTAGTAGCAGTAGTAGCAGCAGCAGCAACAGCAGTAGTAGTAGTAGTAGTAGTAGTAGTAGCAGATGCAGTTGCGAAAGCTCCAGTACTAGTAGTAGCAGTTGGAGTAGCCGTAGCCGTAGGAGCAGCAGTAGCAGTTGCAGTTGCGGTCGTAGTAGTGCATTGAAAAAGCAGTAGGAGTGGCAGTAGCAGCGGTCCTAACTGCTCTTAATGTTGTGAATACTAGCGGCGGCAGTTTTAGTAGCCGATGTCATTGCAGCGGGGGCTGTCATTGCTAGACGTGCACAACGGTAGCGGTAGTGGAGGCCTTGGTCGTAGTATGAGGGTAGCTCTCGCCGAAACAAAAGTTCTGCGGCAAAAACAAGCTGCACTTCTTCGGACTGATGATACGCTTTAGGCTGTAGGGTTTAAGGTTTCGGGTCTAAGGTTTAAGGTTGAAGGCTTATTAAGGTTTAGGGTTCCAGTCCTCCAGCACGGATGGGACATACTGCTGCAGGCTGCATCCCTTCGATGCAAATTGTGCCTCGGTCCGGGACGCAAGAGAACGATGCAGGATACAACATGAAAGAAGATAGTAAACATTAGGTTTCGGAGCATATCAAAACTCAGACTCAGCAACACACGGAATATGGGCTGCGATCATGTTGTGATTTGTAATTTAAATATCGCAAACGACCCTAGGGAATAGTTCCGCCGGTCGCTGCAGACTCCCCCATGCAGCATGAGATTGCACGACCTACTGTTCACAACATCCGCACGAAAAAGGCTTCTGTCCCCTCCCTGGTGCATGCGCAGCAGCGATGTCAAAGAACCGTCTGGAGTGCATGAGTGAGTGCGTGAGTGAGTGGCCCGGGATGCACTCCGGCCTAACCAAAACGTTCCCTACGGCCATCCAGTGCACGAGCTTGCGTGCTGCAAGATGTACGGAAGACATGCCCCCGGCTGCGACTGCCACATTCCTTGCTAATAGTGCTCTGCTGCAAACATCTGCTGTTTCGACATGACTGACAAGGCAAGTTAAATGTTAAGACTGGCAAGAAGCACATCCCACGACCAGAGCCAAACTGCACCAAACATCCGTGCAAGAAACCTCACAGGAACCCATCATGTTCTTGCGGCTGTCGGGTTTCGGACGGGCTTCCAGTATCGGCCCTGTGGCGTAGGTCGTACCAAAACGGATACATTGCAAGCTGTTCGACTCTCAGATACTCACTTTCTACACTGTAGAGTTCAGGGCCAGTTTGAGGCTTGGCTACTTAATCCACCATGCCTTGGGGACTTAATGTGGGGGGGGGGGGTTTTGGGAGTTCCTTACTGTAATCACAGTTATCATACACCCCCCCAAACCCTATTCTAAAAACTTTTTAAGTAGTGGTGTCCAGCACCGGAACTGGGCTTCGAGCGAGCAACTCCAGGTCTCTGGCTCCTGGCAGGAAGCGAACATGGGCCCAAATTAATGAGAGTGGGGGGTTAGGGCATATTAAACTATAGGTATTTAAGAACCCTGAAGATCAATGCTGGTAATCACTCAGGCCTCTATCTCACACTGAAAGATTTTCGTGACATGGGTTGTGAGATTGAAATTACATGTCTGTGTGTGCACAACCTTAGTCTGTCTTTTCTTGACGCCTTGCAGAATGCATGCGCATATGCTGTTTTGCCTTTGCATGCCGCGCTCCGCCGTAGTTCAGCTCAAAACATGCATGTCAAGATACCCAGGACCTAGCAACTTGTGTTTCTTGTTTATGAGAAGGCAGATGGCGCGAGCAGACTACGGCAGAGTTGCTTTGTATGAGGTGTACATTACAAGGGCTCGAGTCTCAGTCACAGTGGCCTTTGACAACGATGTCCTGCCTCCGGAGCTCAGCGGCGCAATCGCAAGAGCTGCACCGGACAACAGCGGAGCCCAAACCTGTGGGTGTATGGCTGTGTAGAATGGTGTAGAGCTCACGGGGAAAAGGTCGGTAATGGAAACCCGTGAGCTCTTTACGGACAGTGTCACAGCAGCAGTAATGTAGAGGAATGCGTTCTCTAGAAGGGGCAAGGTATGCAAATGTATGCATACAAAAACCGGGGGGGGGCAAAGCAAAAGAAGCAAAGAGATATTGACATGCACGTACACACTCACACACATATACATACATGTCTATATATACAGACATGCATGCGTGCATATGTAAGTATATATGTACGTACGTAGGCAGGCATGCATGCATGTACCTACATATGCATGTATGTGTGCACGCACCGGATGATAAATTGGCGAAACGAAGCACAGAGGAACCGAGATTCTATAGGCAGGACCATTTCCTTGCAGCCTTTTGTGTGTAACCCAACCAGGAGAAGGAATACCACCTACGTGTGCACCTCTCAACACACAACCCCGTAATCTCGACATGGAAATACGAATACATGGACCCACATGTTCGCGACCTCAGGCATTGCTGCGACCCACGACAGGCTTGTGTGCTGGAGGCCAACCTTAGTTCATGAAACCGTCGACCTGCAACACATTACTGTCAGTATTACTACTGCGACTATTGTTGCTAGTATTACTGATAGAACCATTATTAGTATCACTACTAGTAGCATTATCTGTATGATGATGAGTGTGCTTATTAGTATTATTACTGTTGTTGTTATTCGTGCTATTATGATCATAGGTTGGTTGTGCCAGGAAAGGTCACAGTAAATTCTTCTGTTGCCCGACTTCTGCACTCTGGCACAGTGCAGAGTTTACTGCTACAGGCACTTTCAAGGATATGGGTGGTTGTCAATATTAGAGTCCCTGTTTGGGTCCTTATTAAAATACGGCACCTAATGTTTAGGGTATCCCAAAACGGACCATAATTTTGACAACCACCCATATAGAAGCACTGTTCAGCCTTCAGAGTAACCTTAAAATGGCCCTAAAAGCA